AAGTCTCTTGGATGCATACTCAGGCTACCACCAGGTCCCAATGGCTCCTGAGGATGAAGAAAAAACCTCGTTCTATGCTGGCGATGAGATCTATTGCTATGTAATGATGCCCTTCGGCTTGAAGAACGCAGGTGCCACTTACTAGAAGATGGTTACCATCGTATTCCGAGCTCAGATAGGATGGAATCTGGAAGTTTATGTTGATGATATAATGGTAAAGAGTTTGAAAGCTAACGATCACTTAACCGACCTTGAGGAGACATTCAACAATCTCAGATAGAATAGAATGAGGTTAAACCCAGTCAAATGCATCTTTAGTGTGGAGTCTAGAAAATTCCTAGGTTTCATGGTTTCCAAGAGAGGGATTGAGGTCAACCCAGAGAAGATCAGAGCAATTGCCGAGATGGAACCGCCAAAGTCAGTGAAGGATATACAGAGGTTGACCGGAAGGGTAGCAGCTCTTCATCGGTTCATATCGAAGTCAGCAGATAAGTGCCTACTATTTTTCAAGATTATGAGGTCAACTGCCCAGAAAGATGAATCAGGTAAACAGAAGAAGTTTGAGTGGACTCAAGAATGCCAACCCACATTCGACAAGCTAAAGTCTTATCTTAGCTCACCACCTCTACTGACTAAAGCCAAAGATGGAGAAATCCTCTATTTATATCTGGGAATTTCAGATGAAGCCATTAGTTCGGTTCTGGTAAGAGAAGCCAAGCAGCAGAAACCAATATATTATATCAGCAGTGTGCTACATGGAGCCGAACTGAGGTATCCTATAGCTCAGAAAACAGCCTTAGCGGTTGTCACTTCGGCTAGAAAGTTGAGGCCATATTTCCAGTCGCACCCGATCATTATTCTTACAGACTAACCCCTTCAGCAAATTTTGCAAAAGCCTGAGTGTTCTAAAAGATTAATTAAGTGGGCAGTAGAACTGGGGGGAATTTGAGATAACATTTCAGCAGAGATCTACAATCCGAGCTCAGGCATTGACATATTTTATTGTAGAGTGCACTCCAGGTAATTCCATTCCTACTCCGGAGCCCAATGACTGGACCTTATATGTTGATGGGGCATCTAGTAGCAAAGGTTCAGGAGCTGATGCTCTCTTGATTGGCCCAGATGGATACCAAAGTGAACATGCCCTGAAGTTCAACTTCGATGCAACAAATAACATGGCTGAGTATGAAGCCCTGCTACTTGGTTTGCAACTAGCATTGGAATTAAAACTCAGTGCGATCCAAGTATACAGTGACTCCCAGCTGGTGGTGAACCAAATTAACTCAATCTGCGAAGTTGTTGATCCTGTGATGATGAAATATGTAGCACTGGTGGCCGAGCTGAAGTGCAAATTCCAGAAATTCTATTTGAGCAAAATCCCCCGAACTGAGAATGAACAGGCAAATTCACTCTCTAAATTCGCCTCTGATAGTTCTTCATAGTCCAGATCAGTTTTCGTGGAGGTCTTAGATGAACCAAGCTTCATGAAGCCACGGGTGATGGAAATCAACACAGACCCAGGTACGCCAGGCTGGACTGACTCAATTGTCTCCTTCCTCCGAGACGGGGTAATACCTGAGGATAAGCAGGAGGCAATGAGGTTGAGAAAGAAAGCATCTCGGTATACACTTGTTGATGGGATCCTCTATAAGAGATCTTTCTCACTCCCTCTCCTACGGTGCTTGAATCCCTATGAAGCAGAATATGCACTTAGGGAGGTGCATGAAGGTGTCTGCGAAAGTCACGTGGGGGCTCGAACTTTGGCTCATAAAGTCCTTAGACAGGGTTATTATTGGCCCAACATGTACAAGGATGCCACTCACTTTGTTCAGAGATGTATGAAATGCCAGTTCTTTGCGCACCTGACTCACCAGCCTGCAGAAGAGCTCATTACTCTGCTAGCACCATGGCCATTTGCTCAGTGGGGCTTAGATCTGTTGGGCCCATTCGTGAAGGGGGTTGGTGGTGTAACCCACCTGATTGTTGGTGTAGATGATTTCACAAAGTGGGTTGAAGCTCGGCCGTTATCCAGTCTTACTTCCAAGAAGGTTGAAGACTTTGTTTTCAGCTCAATCATCTGCAGATATGGGATCCCGAATCAGATTGTGGCTGATAATGGAACTCAATTTAACTACACTTCTTTTCGAGATTTCTGTTCCAGCTACGGGATTAAACTGCAGTTCACCTCGGTTTACCATCCGGAGTCCAACGGCATGGTCGAATTTGTTAACAAGTGCATCTTAGAAGGAATAAAGCCGAGGCTGGAACAACACAAGCCTAAATGGGCAGACGAGCTCAACAACGTCCTCTGGGCATACAGAACTACGAGTCGAACTGCCACAAGTATTACTCTACACTTGGCCTATTTGATTAATATTATTTTACTTCTTCTGCTACGGTTTTACCTT